TAGATTCTGTGAATTAAAAGTTGGGTATATCAATAAAAATCTCAACTATTAGCTAAAACATAGGCATTTTTTTATTTTTTCATAAAAAACGAATAAAAGTTAATTAAATTTTATCTTCAAATCGTTGAATAAAATTTATTTTTATATTTTTCTGACGTGTTACTCATATGTTCATATTTAACAGTAATGAATGCAAAATAAACTGAAACTTCAAATAAGTAAAACATAGAAATTTCTGCATCACTGTATTTGTAACAAATGCATAACTGAAATTCATTCGCCAACCACATCAAATTGCTTCAAGAGCCGCCAGTTTGAAAACACTTTTATAGACAATGTTCAGATTGCACAAAAATAATATTTTAGGATTTAACTTTTCATGGAATAAACACAGACAAATTCAAATAATCTTATTCTATTTTATTTGATTCGTCTCTTTCTGAAATTTAAACAATTGCATAACACAGTGAAAAGCTATAGAAGCGTTTGTTACAAATCTTGTTTCCCTGCAGTTATACAATTCAGGATTACATTTCTTAGGTTAACAACATGAAAACTATTTTCACACTTAATCAAGATATAAAGAATAAATATAATCCTCTTAACTTTATTAATCGAAATTATGTGCATAAAAAAATTCGGAATGTAAAATATAAACCTGACTGGATGATTGAATAGCCTGGAATACATTTCGAGTTTGCAATATTATTGTGGAAATACTTGCATATGTTATTGTTTGAAAGAACTTCCGCAGAGAACCCGGTAATGTCAACATCGCCAACTTTGGCGACAATAGTTCAAACCTGGTAAGTCGATTCATCCTATTCGCTTGTTCGAAAGTTGTCATCGTTCGCATTTGGAGATTTATATTATTCTTCTATTATTTATTATTTTTTCTGAATTTTTTAACAACGAATAGACAGAAATATTTTCGTATAATTAAAAAACTTTTCGTCGATAGATGCCGGTTCTCGGCTCGTTAGTTCGGGATCAAAGGAAGAAAATATGGCGGGAGGGGTGAATGCTAATTTGTAACACGGCTGTTCACGTTGTGTTCTTAATTATTAACAGCTGTAAGCACGCAGAACCATGAGGTTTCCAACCCATAAAATAATTTGTTTTCATAGGCCACAAAAATGTGCACGTGCATTTTAAATAATTAAGGAATGCTTTTACTTTTATGGCGTAAAAACTTTAACAAGATACTATATTGTTAATGCTTTTCCAACAATAACCTTTCAGATGATGGCAGGTGTGACATAAATAGCTGATTAAATTGAAATAAAAAATATTATTGATTATCTCACATGACAGAATAGTTTGATGCATCCCCATGGTCATCAAAATTAGCAAACCACTGCTGGTGTAAGGAATACAGTTCGAATGACTCTAAAAATTAATAAAACGTATCAAGTTCTAGTTTTATTAACAATGCTAATGAAGAAAATTTGATTACTGTTGAAGGTTATCTGTGAAATATATTATGACAGGTATTTGTTTTAACATAAAATGCTTTAAGCTGTATGCAAGTAACTTGGAAAAAAAAAAATACTGAAAACTATGTGAAATGGATGTACTAAATGTCATACATTCATTAATTTATCACATGGGCATGGCTCTTACCGAAATACATCAATCAACAGGCAAAGTACTTAAAAATGAAAAAAAGACACTTAATAGAAATATTAGTATTCTGGGTACTATTCGGTTTCGAGGGCCGTAAAAAATCGCCAAACTATTGTTGATGCCAATGCTGTGAAAAATAATTGCGGCAAGAAAGGAAGTATAATAGTAAATAACTATTTAAGATTGATGCTTTAATTTAGATGAAAGATTAATTTCATATAATACTTTTTTATTATCATAATTTATATGAAAAAGGCTAAACATGACTGAATGGAAGCATAAGAGTAAATAACTATTTCAAATCATTATAATTTATATAAAAATTGCTAAACATAACTGAATGGATGCCTGCATCGCTATTTCGCTACCCGACTTATCGCTAAAGCATAATTTCATCTCGTTGTTTGTTCAAAAGTAATTTTCTATAATGAATGATGACCTTTTCTTTGAAAAAATTCTTCGGTAAAGTGCAGAATCGCCCCCACTTATTGTTTGCCGCTTTTTACAAGGGTAAAAACAATTGAGACCTTTTGTCATTTTTCTTTTACTCTTTAAGTGAAAATAAGTCGAAGTGTACATAGATAAAGTCAAAGGTGTGCACAGCACCATTTTTGTCCAATTCTGGGATTTTTTTTTAAAGTGAAAATAGGTCGATGTGTATTCTTATCGAGTATGTGATATTCTTAAAAACGTGTCAAGCAGTGGGTGATTCTGCACTTTACCCAAAATTCTATTGCCGAGTTTTCTTCAAGGGCAATTCTCAAATTGTTAAATCCATAGGATATCAAAAAAGGATTTAAAATCAAAAAAGGATTTTAAAATTAAACTAGTATTTCAATGGCGTCTTAAGAAATATAGAACTATATAAAATTACGCAATCTGAAATTAGCGTGTACGCTAGATTTGGCGCGCTGTTTAAATGGGGGCATCTGCTAGATTTGGCGCTTTTGCGCATACATTTTCGCTGAAATTTTTTTACGGCCCTCGAAACCAAATAGTACCATATGCTGTATGAATTAGAGAAAATACATACAAGTATAATGTAAACGTAAGCATAAGAATACTAATTTTTATTTTTTAAATGAATTTTTACTTCCCGTTATGTTTAATATATTGTTTTCTGTCTAATGTTGAATTTAATACAAATTTATTTTCGCATATCACGTTTAACTGGTTAGTTTTACATCTACATGCTTATTATCTGTGAATTTTTACTACCATTGTCTGCTAACTTGAATTTACATACACTAAAAATCACGTTTACGGCTCATCCTTGGTGAGTAAAAATGCAATGGTGCCAATGGGTTCTCTGCGGATGAAAACCCTATTATTTTAATCTTTCATTATTAACTCTGTGATATATATTGCATTTTCATGATCATTACTGCATTTATATAAAGAACATATTTTCAAACATATATAACCATTACTACGGATAATTGTTCAAATTAATGGCAAGAATTATAAAAGAGACATATAAAATAATGCTGGAGTTATATATATCATAATATAAAATACCAAGATGAAAAAAGTACGTACATTTACTTAGTCACAACAATAACTAATTGTTTACAATTTGTTCTGTGTAAATGGTTTATCATCTCAATGCAAACGCTACACTTTGCCTTACGCGATTTCGTAAAGTCTTAATTAAATTACTTGAGTTCGAAAACAGGAGAAATTAAGCAATGCTTTTACCAAGATTTGAACTCCAGACCTCCCGACCGGACATGCTTACACCTGAAGGCACACAGTATGCAGAAAGACAAACACACACACACACACACACACACAAAAAAAAAAAAAAAAAAAAAAAAAAAAAAAAACAGGTAAGACAAAGATCATGAGCTTCTTTGTTAAGACATAAAATTATTGAAATTCTGTCTACAAAGCTATCTTTGTGTACAAAATCTCTTTTGTAAGGTATTTTGGATGTTGATGAATGCAAGCTAGAATTTTTAGTAAATTTGTACCTTTACAGGTCATGCGGTTCTGGGCAGTGTTTAAGAAATATCACATTCTTACAAAATCAATTATCAGTCAATTAATTCACAAAATATTACAAAAAAAATATGGAAGTTGTTTGGTGTAAAAAGCAGATTTACTAAAGTATTAAAAATAGAATGGACTGAAAAATAAAATTAACAAAGGCATGATAAAAGCGTACAAATGCAAGACTTCATTCTGTCATAAAATAGAGCAGTTATAATAGCTCAGAGATGTATTCAAGAACAATACTTTAGCTTCTCTATTCAAAGAGGCTCCAAATTTTGAACATTGCAGATACTAAGTATGAAAACAGAGATATCTTTAAAAAGTATATATGTCTATTATTATAAAGTGGGATGCTCTCAAAAGTTCAAGTGACAAGAACCTCCACTTTAAAATCAACCAATGCACTTTTTTAATTTGTTAACATGCTCAATTTTTAAGAAAGTTGAAATGATTTTTGGCCTTTTTAAGGATGTATGAAAAAGGGCCTGCTTTTTCTAAACTATGAACTTGTTCAAAAGTTCCAAAGGCAAGAAAGACACTGCTTACTATACTCAAAACAAACCTTAAAATTCTTACCTTTTAATAACTACTGCTTACGATTATGTTCCAGTAATCAAAACTATTACAATATTTTGTGACATGAAACTGTCTCAATAAAGCAGTTTTTTTTTTTTTTTTAAATTTCATAAAACATAGTACAAAAGTTCAAATTCTTACATCTTTGAAGTACATCACAAGTTCCTCAGTACTTAGAATCAGTGGCAACAATCTTTTAACATTATATTGATCAAAATCCTACATTACAATATAAACAGCACTGATTGATCGAAATTTTGGATGTAAATTAGAGAAAAATTAAAAACGATTTCGAAACGGCTGAAAAATTTGTAAATTGCAATATGACAACTATTTTCATCAGAAAGACAAAACACTTCAGACTTCTAACCCACAGTCACTACTAAATACATGTATCTTAAATACAGTTTTAAAATTATCATCTTTATTCTTTCTTCTCCCCTTCACTGCAATAAAAATTTCCACAAAACACCGGCACGCGTTACCACTTTAAAAACTGCACTGATCTGCAGCATTTCAAGGTTCATGTCTTATTATTTCTCGTACCTTATATTCATAATACATTTTTTATTACGATTCAAGAATTTAAAGATACATGCGCTACAGATCACTTGCCTACAACTCATATCAACCAATTCAACAGCACCGGTTCATATCAGCCAGTTCGGCAGGCGTAATTATGAAATATATCCAATAAAATAACAAAAACAAATGTACAGTTTCAGAACTAAAAAGAAAAGAAACTTAATTGCTGATATAAAAAAATTATGGAAGATAAATTTAACAAAAAGCTAACATCTTACCCGCAAAATGGTTCGAATTCAAATACCAGGATTAACGTGAGTACAATGACAAGATTTATAGCGCGTTATTGCTCAAGGAACGCCACAACAAGTAGAAAATAAGACATGAAACAGCCATAGGAGGCCAGAAACTAGCATTAAACTTCACAACCGAGTTTATAATGAAATCCTGCAATATATTTGCACGGCAGCCGTACAGTTAATTTTATTAGAACACATAAAATATTTTAGCGTATACAAATGTTCCATTTGCATATTTTTGTCCAACTTCATACTGCCTATCGTAATATTTGCTTTATTTTTATATTTAATTTAATATGTATTGTGTTGCTTTCTGTTAGTTTAAATAGCAGGTAAAATTGATCCAGAAAAGCAGGTGCAAAAAGATGGTGTTAGGAATATGTTTTTTACAATGACCTGACTGTCGTTTTAAGAATACATTATTATTTTAATTTTATTTTTATTTCCTTGTACGCGATTGTATCCTGAAAATCTTCGGGTACAGGGCCCTGGTCTGGACACCGTCGAGGTGAAACAGTCGCGCTTTGCGATCTACTCGACAAAGAGCTAATCTCCTATCATCATCTCGATCATTACAGAAATCGACGCATCGGAAATTTTACCGTCAGCTGTGTAGTTGCCCTTTGACTTTCTGACTGTCGTTTTAGAGCTAAACTAAAGACGGCGGAGGTCACGAATAATTTTTGGAAGTGTACGTAACGGATATTTTAATTTAAGACTTGCGAAAAACTCGAGTATTTCGAGACAGAAGTAACGAATCTGATGACGACGATGCTAATTTTTGTTGGATTATTTCGACTTACCAAACGTATAGCATGAACCCTTATCAATAAATTAAGGCTGTGCATTCCCAGAGCATCCACGTCAAAGACAGCAATAACTCTTAAATTAAAGTGCTGGATATGCGCAGTCCCGGATCTAGGGGGGGGCAAGGTGGGGTCTGTGACCCGGGCGGCAAGTTCAAGAGTGGCGCTGGAATGTTGTCAAATTTTGATGCAACATTAGTAGTTTTAAAGCCAAGTTTAAAACCTCTTTTAAGAATATTTATAATTAAGTGCTCGAAACCTTTTAATGGAGCAAACAGTTTTAAAAGTAAGCTAAGTACAGCCGAACACGACTTTAAAGATAAGATCAGAGAGAGGACAATAGAGGGACTCCAGGTGTCACTGAAAAAGTCAAAGTACCCTTTTCCTCTGCCAACCCAATATGCAATTTTATTAAAAAGGTACTCCGTAAACGCCTTGGTCTTTGGTCCCTGTAAGTGACGCCTGAAGCAAAGAATCTATGTATCTTTCCCTTCAACTTCTTTGCCTAGAGTCCCTCTGTTATCCTCTCTTCTGACGGCAATATTCAAATGAAAAAGAGAACGATAGCATAGAGGCGCCTTGTTTTTATACCAACGCCTCTTGCAAAATAAATGGAGAAGCCTTGTAAATTGTAACTCTTTCCTAACACCCAATACAAATTAACATTGGACCAATGAAATAATTAAAATTAATATACGTCGAGAATATACAACAGAAATAAAGTAAGGCATTTTGATTTTTTGCAGCTAGTCGGCAACTTAGGTTTTAAAAATGGATTTATTGTTTTTCTAGTTTTTAAAGTTTTATTTTTTAGTTTGGAAGGTTTTTTTTTTTTTTTGTTGTTGTTTCTTTAATATGCCTGCTTCCAATATTCCTCACCATATTTAGCGAGATGGAACCATTTAGTTAGCACGTGCTTCCGCGACGCGGCCCTAAGACTGTAGAATATAATTACGTTAATTTTTAGCCTTTCTTTTAAGGCAAGTTATACTGTATATTATTTAGGGTGCAAGAAATGAGAGGGTCTAGCAAAAACTCTCAGGGGCAGAATATAGAACCAGAGCAAAAGATAGGACCGAACAGAGAAAACAAATTGCAGCTAAAATGAAAAATGGCTTCACGGAAAAGACGAACCGTCAGACCCTGCCGCAACTTCCGATGGTGCCGAGATTCTAAACGATATTGATATTTCTTGCAATTCGCATGACCAAGATGAAGAATCTTCATCTATCATCCTCAAACAGACTTCATTTCAGCAACTGAGAGAACAACTTTCTTTATAGACCCTCAAACTAACATCTAGAGCACATGAAATTAGGATATAAAGTATTTTCTCATTTAGGTGAGTGTGGGCAGCAGAACGAAGACTTAAAATCATTTGATTTGTCGGACCCAGGTAGTTGGCCAATCACAGAAAAACGATCACAGAAATCACAGAAATCACAGGCCAATCACAGAAAAACGATCTTTCTTAGCAGTCAAGCTGTATTATTAGCCGAAAAATATCCAGACAACGTAGACCTTAGGTACACTGAACATGATAAAAGACATTTGACATCTTCATTGTGGCACAGAACATTACCAAATAATGAAAGGCTTAAAAGATCTTGGATTATTTATTCTAAAACTAAAAATACAATTTTTGTACACCCTGTGAGATTTATCAGAAACATGCCACTGCCTTTACATCAGCATTCTGTACGACATGATTCACTAATTGGAAAAAAGCTTCAGAAAGATCAACTGAGCATGAACTATCTGAAATCCCACAGAGAGTGCATGATTAAGTGAAAAATTCCACTACAACAAATGAAATAGTGTCAAGGCATCATGACATCAAGAGACTAATTCACACAGAGAAAGAAAAAGGGAAAAAGATCCTTCAAGTGAGTATGGATGCCGTATTGTATCTTTCAACAAGCTGTCTTTCTTTACGTGGGTCTGATGAAACCCTGGCAGTCTGCTCACAAAGTGTCCTCGGCCTAGTCAAGGCAATTTTTGAATATGATGACTCTGCTAGCCAAACATAACTCTTAAATACTAGTTAGAATACCTAAAGAAGGGACAAGTATCATATTTAACAACGATAATTCAAAATGAAATTACTGATGTAATGACGAAAACAGTTCGCAATAGCATTTTAAATTATATTAAAGAAGCCAAATATTATACAGTAATATTCGATTGCATTCCAGATGTGCCGCATACAGAACAAATGAGCCAGGTGATTCAATACGTAAAAAATATGTGGTGATGTGTGTGAAATAAAGGAAAGCATTATTGATTTCATAGAAATTGGTGGAAAGACAGGAGAATGTATTTCTCAACGGATTGTGGAAAAACTGACACTTGATGGTTTGGATATTGACAATGTGGTGGTCAATTTGAGGATAACGGATCTAACATGGCCGGTACTTACCAGCCATATTAGATCCTGGAGAACAAGCCAGGATTACAGAAATGAATAAGCTGGCCGAATATGGGCGATGTTTGGCGCACTCTTTGAATCTTGTCTGTGTGCTTTCTGCCTCGTCTTGCCACGACGCAATTAACTTCTTTGGAATTATTCAGAAGAAATTTAGCTTTTTTGTCGGATTCACTATTCGATGGGATATTACGAAAAGATGTCCAAACAGTGGCGTAACTAGAACTCTTGGGCCCCTATGCAAAAAATTTTCCTGTGCCCCTTTCCCAATAAATTTAATGTGCTTAAAAATTAAAAATTTAAAAAAACGCAAAAAGTTTAAAAAAAAGTCAAGGATTTTCAGAAGCCAATGTTTTCATGTTGATTTTTATCACATCTGGATTAATTGTAAAACAATAAAAGCACGTTCTTAGGGAACCAGTTGAAAGGTACGTAACATGAAGAAAGAATAAAAAGGAAAAAAATTTCCCTTGACCAATTGGTGAAATAAAAATTTGCTTTAGTCTGGGTATTTGACGTCAGATGATTTTAATTCTGCTACTTAAGACTTTTTGTGTGAGTGCGAGAGACAGATTTTTCTCTCCTTTCACTGAGATGCATATTGATAATAAATGAATAAGTCTAAGAAAATAAAAAAAAAAAAAAAAAAAAGGAACATGTCGACGTATAGCATTAAGAAAAGGAAGAAAGCCTAGATTTGCGGAGATATTTATATAAAATCCAAGAAGTTTTACATACTAATGTTTTAAATTTTCATATAAAATCTGCGCCTATGTAAGGTTTTTCACTTAAGTTAGCAAACTTGTAAATAATTAATTATAAACTGACAGACAAGATAATTGATAAACGTACAGAAAAGCTATTACATTAATATATAGTACTCTGTGATTTAATCAGCTTACGAACGTAATTTATGCAATAATATACAAGTAATAAATAAGAACTTTTATAATGTAAATGATACATTTGTTAAATATAAAACATATTTATCATAAACTTCATAAAGAAAACTATTTGAAGATACAATTTTTGAAGAAAATATGTATGGTATAGTTTTTTTCTGTCTTTTAAAAAAAAACCTTTCAGTACACTAAACTACTTGAATGCATGATTTTTAGAAAAAATATGAATGCTAAAGTTTTTTACTGTTTCCTTTTAATTTTCCTCAGTCCGTACTGCTCTTCTTCTCTAATTTTTTCTTCACTCAATAAGTGTAATGATAACATTGGTGGCCAAAATTCATCATAAAGAAAAAAATCCTTTTTTTAAAATTTGCGTGTCCTAACCTTCCTTTCCGCAAAATTATTTATCAATATTTGGACGTCCATTTTCTCATCCATCTCAGCTTCAACGCTCAATAGTGAAAGGTTTTACAACTGATCTTGTGTCACACTGTTTCTTAAATATGTTTTTATTAGTTTCAGTATTGAAAATGACCTCTCACTCGTGGCTGTGGTTACAGGTAATGATAAATACAATATAAGTGAATTTCACACTCCCGAATAACTGCTTCTCATGTCATAATATTTTATCATTGCTAATTTAGCTAAATCCTTAACGGATTACAAATTTTGGATTTCTGTTCTGAAAGTATTTATAAATAATAAAAGTTGTACTTCCAGTGCAAGTCTTCTTTATGTGTTTTCTGTATTTTTGAAACATTATTAATAATTTACGTATTTGTTCACAATGACAGTGTTTTAGGTTCTTTATTTTCTCTTTTATTTTTCAAATTTAGTTTCTATGCCCCATTTATGTGCAATAAACTCAGCTTCTTTCATAATGTCTTCAAACTTGTTTCTCATATCTTGCATATTAATA